AAAGGCGGGCGGGAGGCGGGGGGGCGGTGGCAGGGTGTCTGGAGACCTGGGTCGCCTGGGTAGAAGATACCCGGAGATGCACTCAGCGAGGCTCTGGCGCGCCAGCGCTGCCGTCCCGCAGGAAAAGCGTGCCCCCTCTGAACCCATTACACCCTCAACAGACAGTCGTGCATTGCAGCCCCCAGGCTGCTCTCCCCCACGTCTCCATTCAATCCCACACCAATTCCTGCCTGCCCCGGACAAAAACGCCTCGCTCCCCGTGACGCTCTTACAGACAATATCGGCCGCCCTGTCGTACTCATGGCCCCTAAGACCTGCCTCCCCACCCCTGTTGACAAAGCCGTCGCCGCACGCTCACCTCTTGAAGTCCTTCTTGACCATCATCTTGCTGCTGATGCCAAACAGCAGCCCAGCGGCGGCATCCGCCTTCACAATGGTCAGCGCTTTGTCCAGCTCCACCACCGCCGCCAAAGCGTCCGCGCGCCACAGCACCAGCTGCAGAGACGCCTCTTCCTCATCACCAGCCAAGGCTGCTACCGCAGGGCCCGCAGCACCAGAGGCAGGGACGCCATCGCTGCCGCTGTGCGCGCAGGCTTCGTCTTCGGGGTCTGCCATGACCACCCGTGCCTGCAGCAGGGCGGGCCGCACGCGGTTGCGCTGCTGGAGGGCCGCCGTCAGTGATGAGCCCCTCGCGCCGACATCTCCCTCCTGTGGGTGGGGCCGGGGCAGACGGGTGTGTGAGGTGTGAATTCTGGGGGTTGCCGGGGTTGTATCACTGCGTGTGTCTACAAGGGGTCACTGGCCAGGCAGGCGGCCTGTCCTACATAGTGGGGCAGCTGCTTGTGGGGGGTGCTGACAGTGGTACGCGTGACGATGTCTGGGATGCATCATTCGCAACATGTGCACCAGCCAGAACGCTGCAGCTATGTTTGAGCAAGGCACGTGGCGCCCAGCACGTCCCGCCGTCAAGCCACCGCCCCACCTTGCTGTCCCTGTCCCCCTGCGCCAGCACCCCCACGCGCCACGCCTCGTCCGCGCCCTCCAGCGCCCTGAGCCCCAGGGCCGTCAGCAGTGACGCGTCCTCCCCGTGCATTCGAGCCCACTCCCCAAACACGTTGACATAGGCACGCACGGGGCGGCCCACCATGTCCTGCGGCAACGGTGGCAGCGCCAAGGGCAGCATGGAGGCGGCTGGGATTGGGGCTTGATGCCTGGTGCAATGTGCGTTGAGCAAGGGCCCGAGCACACGCCAGCACAAGGGCATACCACTCCGCACTTTGCATTGACAAGATCATGCCTTGGGCTGACCAGGGGCGCATCAGGCAGAAGGGCGCAGCGGGCATCCACCAAGTTTGGAGTTGATTGTTCAACCCCAGGCATCCGCTGATCCCAACCTGACCCCTCATCGCACATCGAAATACACACCCCGCCCTCTGCACACGCACACACCCCACCTGCGGGCTGCAGCCAAAGAGCGCCCTGCTGGGCCCCGGGTTGACGCGGGTAATGATCCCGGACCCGTCCACCCCCAGCACCAGCCGCGCCCTGTCCATGGCGGCGGCGTCCGAGGAGGGCGTCACCCGCACCACGTGCTGCAGCCGCTCCCCGTCATCGTGAGTGGAGAGATGCAGGGTGACCGGCACCTTGACGCCGTTGGAGCGCAGCAGGTGCACCACGGCGCCGGCGCGGCAGCTGGTGGCGGGGGGCTTGGTGGCCAGCTCCTGGGGGAGGGTGGGCAGGGATAGGCTCAGGGTTCAAGAGTGCAGGGGGTGGGGTGCGGGGTCGCGCAGGGGCTCAATTGGGGTCTCCACTGGATGGGACAAGCGAGACCTGCGATAAAGCCCTGGGCCTGCAAGGCAAGCAGGCAGCCATGTGGCAGGCGGCCAGGTCCTGCTGCAAGTGCAAGTGGACAAGATGCGGAAATCGCCTTGCGCCCAACCACGATCACCCCTGCGGCAGCCTTGCCCCGGGCAAGCTGTGATGGGAATACGCCAAAATACTTGATCTATCAAATATTTTGCTGCCCCTTGCTTTCCCTCCAAGCCAGCCACCCTGCATGCCTACAGGGCGCAAGCCGGCCCCTCTCCAACCTCCTCATCCCCTCGGCACCCCTCCCCTCACCTTCATGAAGCCCGCGTGCATCTGGCTGTAGGGTGGCGGTATCAGGGACGCCAGGTCCATGGACGCGACCTGGCGCGCGCTGAAGCCCAGCATGGAACCCAGCTGGGTGGTGGCGTACACCACACGCGACTGATCACGACAGGGGACCAGGCGCGGCGGACGAGCGTGGTTTGATGAATGGCAGGGGGGGGCGGCAGCCGCCCAAGCCAGCAAAGCCCAGGCCGCCACTTGCAAGCGAGCCGGGCAGTAAGTAGGGACCTTGCCTACCCCTACCCCCGCCTCTTGCTTTCACCTGTTCCAGCATACGCCTTGCTGCAGCCGCTGGTCATCTGCCTGCTGCTCTACCCCTGCCCCCCTAAAGAGTGATTCTGACATTCACCATACACACCTTGTGATCCACCACCATCATGGCACCAGCGAGGGAAGACGCCTGCAGGCGGGGGGTTGAGGTCGAGCGCGGCAAGGGTGTGCAGATCTGAGAGGGTCCAGGAGCACAGGCGTGACAATGCAACACCACGCCGACGCGCGCAAATGAGTGTGAGGGGTTTAGGTGGGACAGTTGTCCGCGCGACAACAGTAAGTGCCATGTCCCATCTCGACATCATGGCGCAACGCGCTGCCGCCATGCTTGCCACCCTAGAATTTCATTGGACGGTTTGTTGAAGGCAGCCCTGCCCCGCCCCCCCCCCCCC